TCGGCGCGCGATGGACGGCAGAGTGCAGCTGATCAAGGCCCTCCTGGCCCTGCCCCTGCGGCCCCAGACGCGTCGGTGGAGGAACCCGATTCCCTTCCCCGAGACGTTTGACGGCGATACCGACCGGCTCCCGGAGTTCATCGTGCAGACGGGCGCCTACATGTTGGTGGACGAGACCCTGTTCTCCAGCGATGCCCTGAAGGTGACGTTCCTCATCACCCGCCTCACGGGGCCGGCGCTGCAGTGGGTGATCCCCTACATCAGGAAGGCGAGCCCCCTGCTCAGTGATTACCGGGGCTTCCTGGCCGAGATGAAGCGGGTCTTTGGATGGGTGGAGGACGAGGACTTCTAGGCCGGGAGACCCTCGGGCCTGGGGGCGGGTGCTCGGGGGAGGGTCCGCGCGCCGGTCGCCACCGCCCAGATCGCCACAGGCGTCCTCGCGCCGCGCCTCCCCCTCCCTTACGTTCCAGTCGCCTTGATCTCCCCCGCGCTCCTGTCCCCTCCCGCGCGTGCTTGCCTTTGTTCCAGGAATAGCGCTCCAGGTTCCCGCTGTTGCCGCTGGGCCTCGCTCTGGAGCGCGCCGCCGCCGTCTCCGGCCAGCCCGGCCCCTCTCGTGCACACTTGGACTCTGTCCTGGACTTCAGCTGCGAGCTGGGCTCCCGTTACGCTCTGGACAGACCCCCACGACCCAGCCGTCGCCATCCTCTCCCTGCCAGGCTACCAGGCAGGCCCGCATCGATGTGCCCAGCGACCGGCGCTGCGGTTGCCATCACCATCCGCCGCATCCCACCGACAGACTGCAGCCTCCAGCGACCTGGTCTCAGCCGGGAGGTATCTGAGCTGGCCACAGCCCCTGGACAGTGATTCCAGCAGCTCACCACCACCCCCGCCCCCACTCCCACCCCCGAGGGGCCGGCCAGCCTCTCACCTTCAGCGGGACCCATTCCTCCCTACACCCAGAGACACCTTCTACTCCTGCCAGATGGCTGCCAGGTCCCGGGGGTGGCCGGCAGCCAAATCGTGTCACCCACCTTCTCCTGTGGATCCGTTAGTTTCGCCCAGCATCCAGTTCTCTTCTGAATTTGCCGCCGTCTCTCTGATGTGTGCCTTTTGTCCAACACCGTGACCCCTGCACTCTGCCCAGCTCTTCTACACTACCTGGACAAAAGTCTTTCCCTTCTTTTCAATAAATGTCAGATGCTGTTCAAAAAGGAAATGAGTCTCAGTGAATATGGCGCCTCTCCCTCCCTGGTCCAGTACGTGGGGTCGTTGTCTTGTTCAGAAGGTATGTCCCCTGCCGTTCCGTGGCTGATGTTGAGTCTTGCGTTACACAACAGCAAAGGTAGAGTCCTGCGGTGGTGCTGGGGATGGAGACCCCTCTGGTGATCATTCAGTCCCAGACGCTGACTTCCAAACCAGTCAGTTCCATGCCCCTTGGGAAATGGACCTTGATCCGATTTTGGCCAAGGCGATGTAAGGAGAAGTCAGCTAGGAGGCTTCTCAGAGGCGGTTTCCTCGTTTCCAGGAAGCTGCTGGAAAGCACAGCACCGAATTGTTATGTTACAGACCATGAATTCCACACATGTGTTGGCCGACACCTGTGAAAGTTTTATTTAACCCATTATCCTGTGGACCAGCAGAATGACAGAAGTGCTTCAGGACATGCGTTTACATTTATAGAGCCTTGGACCGCGTAAATAGTGGGGAAAGGAATGCCAGTCGCCTTTAGTTTAGGCATAAACCCGGTTGATGGCCTGCGGGACCGTAAAATTATAACTTTCTCTAACAGGCAGAAAAGGAAAACAAACGTTACTCGTTACTGTTTCTCTGCATGCTAACCTCTTAAATCTACAGTGCTGCCAAATCCTCTGCTATCTCACGTATGGCTGGAAATAGTTAAGTATCCCAACAGTCAGAAAAAAAAGGTGGGCTTGTGGGACAGCACTCGAGCAACTCTGTGTCATTACTAGTTTAGGTGACTTTTCCAGAACATACGAAAGAGCCATCAATCTCAGCAGCGATGTCGATTGTATTTCGTCTCTTTCTCTCCATGTGAACCGGTAAGTCTTTGTCTTCATGTCTAGTCGTCCGTAAGGCTGTACGTGGACCTAGATAGAGGTCCATTATCTGCATTATGTATGTGATAATGTTTTCATTCCCTCCAATAATGGAAATTTATTGATATTCAGATGGGCTTACAGGGTAGCACTCCGGTGTGATGGTAAAAGGTCATTGAACCAGCTCTGCCTTATTGTAATTATAGTTATTTCTCCAGAACATCTGTAAGAATTGGGAAAATGCTGAGCTTAGTTCATGCTTGGGTTGGCTTGTTGTGTGCTAGTAAACAAAGTGGACTTTGCTGTACAAAGAGGACTAATGTTTACTTGCCAAACAACCATTTAATTGCTCCATCTTCATAATTATTACTTCCTCTGAACATCTGAAACTCCTGAGATTCTGCACTTGGCTGTAATTTTCCTTCCGTTGGTGTCATGTCTCAGTACTCCACTGATGAAAGTTTTGACAATTTCACCACTATCACATCACAGTGGTTATAAGTAGTCGCTTTACACTAGTGATGTAGTCCTCATTTCTAACCAGCTGGAACGTGGCCACACTCTTAAAATCCCATTTCCTAATTTGTTTATTAGTACCACTTCTAGCACGAAATATTATACTTTAAATTTCTGCAGAAAGAGATCCCACAAACAGCTGTTGTAAGGGAGTGAGGGAAGTAGGATTGAGCAGAGGGAATATTTGAAGGGGCATGCAGTTGCAATAGAGGACTCACCTGATCCCACAGGGGTATATAAAGCTGGGATGGTCATTTAGAATTGAGAAGAGGAGACAAGGCGTACGTATCTCCACACTGACTAGTCGTTGTATATGCTCTTAACTGGAGGAGGTAGTGTACCCCTGAACATGGCAGGTACCTTCAATCCATAGTAGTTCCTGAGCAGTGATTCAGCTGTGACTTTCAGCAGCCTTCAACTCCTAGCAGCTGGGGGAATGAATAACTCAGTCATAAAGGTGAGATCCATTTCATTCAACAGTAGGAGAATGGCATCAACACGATGGAACATAATTCAGCATTCAGAAGGAATGAGATAGACTTATGCTAGCTGATTTGCAGAGATTATTGCAAGGTTTTGTTAAGTAAGAAACTATATGCAGGAAATCGAATAATGTGCCCGTTTTTAGACATTAACGCAAAAAGGCTTACATACGAATACACACGTACATACACACGCACAGATTCACACACATGATTAGCTAAGTATGAAGAACAATACAGAAATATGCATACTAGGTTGTTAGCATGGGTCTCAAAATGTGGCAAAGGCTTGATGCCAGAGATGGAGTAGGGCCTTTGGGGAGGGGAGCGCACAAAAATAGGAAAGATAAAAGGGTGCGCTTAAAAAATGGGGGAGGGAGAATGATGTATGTTTCAGAAAACTGGAAAATCTATAGACACTTGTGAGAAGGATATAGTATCAATCAGTGTGCCGATAAGAAACCAATGATACACACAAACGGGGTAAGGGAGGAGAATGAAATGAAGAGACTGTGTACAAAGGTGTGGGTGTGACTAAGAAATCGTGATAGATTGGTTAATCGTTTTGTAAATATTCATTCCCCACTCTGCCCAACCCTTTGGCATAGAGTGTACATAACTGTTCCTCTGAATCTAGGCTTGGTCACACACTTACTTTTCTTTTTAGGCAATAAATATTTTATTTATTTTAAATTAATATTTTCTATTTTTCAATTATAATAGGCATACAATATTATATTAGTTTCAGGTGTACAACACAGTGATTAGATATCTATATAACTCACAAAGCGATTGCCCCAATAAATCTAGTACCCATCTGACACAGGACATAGTTATTATGTTACTGACTATATTCCTTATGCTATAGTGTATATCTCCATGACTCTTATATAACTACCATTTTGTACTTCTTAATCCATGCCCCCTTTTACACTCACCCCATGAACCGCCCTCCCATCTGGTAACCCTCAAAATGTTCTATCTATGATTTGTTTCTGGTTTTAGTTTTGTTCTTTAGCTTCTACATGTACGTGAAATCATATGGCATTTGTATTTCTCTGACTTACTCCACTCGGCGCAATACCCTCTAGGTCCATCAAGGCAATATCTTTTTCTATCCCCTTCCTTTTAGTCTGTGTGTGTCTTTTAACCTGAAGTGAGTCTCTCGTAGGCAGCATATGTAAGGGTCTTGTTTACTTACTGAACCAGCCACCCTATCTCTTGACTGGAGCATTTAATCATTTACACTTAAAGTAATTGTTGCTAGATATGTAGTTATTACCAACTTATTCAAATTTATACTCTTTTTATCTTTTTTCTTTTCTTAAAGAAGTCTCTCTAACATTTTCTGTAATACTGGCTTGCTGATGATGAACTCCTTTAGCTCTTTCTTGTCTGGGAAGCTCTTTATCTGTCCTTGAATTCTAGATGATAGCTTTGCTGGATAGAGCAATCTTGGTTGTAGGTCCTTGCTTTTCATCGCTTTGAATATTTTGTGCCAACCCCTTCTGGCCTGCAAAATTTCTGTTGAGAAATCAGCTACCAGTCTCAAGAGAGCTCCCTTGTACATAATTAATTGCTTTTCTCTTACTGCTTTTAAGATTCTCTCTTTGAATTTAAACTTTGGCATTTTCATTATGGGGTGTCTTCCTGTGGTCCTCCAGTTTCCTGTTGTTTGGGACTCTGCGTTTCCTGGGCTTGTATGTCAGTCTCCTTCACCTGGTTAGGGAAGTTTTCAGTCACTATTTCTTGAAATAGGTTTGCAATTCCTTGCTCTCTCTTCCACTTCCGGTACCCCTAGGGTGCAAATACTGTTGCACTTGATGTTGTCCCAGAGGCCCCTTAAGCTAACCTCATATTTTTGGATTCTTTATTCTTGTTGCTGTTCTGATTGGGTGTTTCCTGCTACCTTATCTTCTAAATCACTGATTCGATCCTACACTTCATCTAATCTACTGTTAATTCTTCCTAAGGTAGTCTTCGTTTCAGTTATTGTATTCTTCATTTCTGACTGGTTCTTTTTTATCTTTTCTATCTTATTGTTAAAGTTCTCACTGAGTTCATCTACTCTTTTCCTAAGTTCATCGAGCATCCTTATAACAAATGTTTTGAATTCCATATCTGGTAGGTTGTTTGTCTCCATTTTGTTGAGTTCTTTTCCCGGAGCTTTGTTGTGCTCTTTCATGTGGGACATGTTTCTTTGTCTCCCCATTTGCCTGCCTCCCTGTGTTTGTTTCTGTGTATTAGATAGGGGTCCTAAGTCTCCTGGTCTTAGTAGAGTGGCTTTATGTAGTAGGTGTCCCATGGCGCCAAGTGGCACAGTGTTCCCTGGTCACCTGAACGAGGTGCTCAGGGTATGTCCCCTGTGTTGGTTGCGTGTGCCCTCTTGATGTAGTTGAGTCTTGATTTGTGGTCGCACTTCAATAGGAGGATTTACCCTCGGGGCGATTGGTTGTGAGGGTTGGCGCATGAGGGGCTGACCTTATGGAGTAGGATTCACTTTAGCAGGGTGTTGGTGCCTGCTCAGTCTGCCCTTTGGGTGTGTCCTCCTCAGATGCAGCCCTGGGTGGTGCTCTGGCTATATCATTGGTCGAAGCGGGCCATGGGTGTTCCGGGCTAAGGGCCTCCTGGGAGGGGCCCAGCTGCAGGCCAAGTTGAGCTGGAGTAAGCCTGTGCACTTCTGAGGCCACCTGGTAAGAGTCAACAAGCAATCTGCTCTTGGCTGCCACCCATGCTGGGCTTATAGGTGCCTCAAGAGGCCAAGCCAGAAACCAAGGTCAGCTGCCTCTAGTACCAGCCTTGGTTCTGCTCAGCAAGAGGTTCAGGGCACAACGAATTCAGATGCTGCTTCTTTGTGTTTTGCGAGCCTTCGAGAGATTTTAGGGAAGTCTGCAGCATAAGCCAAGACAGGCCATTCGTATGGAATAATCCACTGGAGTAAGCTTGGATGGATCCGCAAGCTGGGAGAGGCAGTCCCTCAGGGAATCACCTGGGTGGAGAGACCTGTGTTATCCAGGTTGATGGAGACTCAGATATGGCAGCTGACTGAATCTGCTCACTGAATCTGCTCGCTGGGAGTGGGGAGGGCTCAACCAAGGAGCAATGGGTACTGCTAGCACGTCTGTCTGGGATAAAGCCACCCACCCCTCCAGCCCTCGTCC